TTTAGATAAATTACTTGCTGCACATTATACACATTGACTGTATTTTAGATCACTGTTTTTTACAAATGACCATGAGGGAAAATTCATGTCTTTGATATTAAGGAAAAAAAAATTACTGAAACTGCATGTATTACAAAAAACCCAATACGAACAGGACAGCAAAAAAAAATCAACAAATGGTAGACATTGCACCCTTAATTTAAAAACTAGACTGTAGAACTTTGTCAGTCATGCTATTATATAAAAGAATACAGTATATTCTGGACAACTTATTTTTCTTTTCTTACACTGAATTACCAATAAAGCCAAGAAAGTGTTCCAAACAAGCCAGTTGGATTCTTGTGACATTTAAATTTATATTTGGGAGGAAAATAAACACTCTTCAGTTGCAATGATTTTTAAGTCCTTCTGAGCAGCATCTTCAGATGTATTCTCTTGCATTAGTAAGTGATTTCATTTATTTTTACATTCTTAAGATTCCTCATTCTGGGATAGTCAGGGGTGGGAAAAAAATAAAAAACAAAACAGAAAATTAACAAGATTTTCCAACCAAGAATAACTGAATACTACTTGTATATATGTCCTTAAATTACTTTTAAAATAGGCAAGTTTTAAATGGGAGATCTTTCTTATAAGATTTAAGAGAATATTCATTAACTTTTTTTGCAGCAATAACACCCTTTCTTTTTTTTTCTTTTTTTTTTATAAGAAAGAAGATGCTCCTCTTAATGAATTTAGTGCAGCTTTGATCTTTTTGCTATAAGCATAAAGGAATTCTTCAATCATCCAAGTCTGTCTAAAAGTGAGAGCCTAGTCATCTAAAAGATCAGATGACAAGCACTGATACTAAATCTAGGAATACATCCCTTCATTAAATCTAGAGTAGGGAGCCCCCAGTGGTCTAGGGGAAATGACACTGCACTGTCACTGCAGAGACCTGGGTTCGATTCCCAGTCGGGGCCCCTCCCCGGGCAGATGGAGCTCGTTAGCCCGTAAGGCAATCCATCTACGTCCTGAGGACCTCGCTGCCACCGTCCAAGCGTGCTTGGCCCCAGCAGATGAACCTCAGGATTAAAGGGTGGGCTCAGTTCCGCGCACACTGTGTCTCACCTAAAAAATCCAATGCGCAGGCTGGAAGGTGTAAAAACCTTCCCCGGTTCTTCGTTCATGAAGAGACTGGCCATTATTATTAAATCTAGAGTAGAAATTAGATTATGTCTATATTATTAAATATAGCATTTTCATCCTCTTGCCCCTTTTATTTTCTTCAAAGCTCCTATGTCATTTTCCCACATGCTACATGGTAGTTCATAAATACAGCATCAATGTCTTTGTATGAACTGTACTCCTCCATTCTTAGATGTTCAATAACCCTACTGTGTTGTTATGCATTCCATTTATCCATGTGGCCAGTAATGTGTTTGCCAAATACCCTTGAAGAAACAAGAAATATGGAAAAAATAAGTAAAGATCCAAAATCCATTCATTATGATAATAATCCAGATTTCTAGGTAGATTTTTTAAAAGCTATGAAGTGACATATTTCCCCCTTGCTTATTTTGCTAATAATTCTTCTACTGAGATAAGCCACCATATTTACACAATGAATATCCAAATAGGAAAGTCAGTGTCCCACATTCATGACTTAAATCAGAGCATCTCCCTATCATTGCACTCTGGTTTACATTTTAATATACTTGTGTAACAGGTTTGAAATTTGCATTACATTGATTGGATAAAGTTAGGTAGATCACAGTTAAGGGTTGTCATGGAAAAGCTGTTATAGATATTTAGCTATTGACTCCTTATCTAGGACCACTTGTCATAACTCTGTTGTCTTTAATGAAATGGTGATTAAAAATATCCTTTTTCATAGAAAGTTTAAAATCATCATGTTTCAAAATTTCTGAGAAAGCTTAAAATAGTCATGTTTCAAGAATGAAAGTATTAATATGTTTAAGGCCTTCTTTTATTTTGGTGTTCCCACTGTTTGGCTCCAATTATTCTTCATCCTGTTTCAGGTTTAACTTTAATATTATTTTTTTAATAGTCTTATCCAATAGGCACAATAATACCTAACAATAATAACAACAATAATAATCTCACACTTTAATGCTGGAAAAGTTGGTATATTTCCCCCTGTTCATGCAACAGATAAATCACCAAGTTAAAATAATTTCTGTGTTGCACCATTATAAAAGTAGTTCAAAAGAAGTGAGGAAAAGAGGAAGAAAAAAAGAGTAATAAAATTGCCGGGGGCGGGGGGGCGTGGGGGGGGGTGGGGTGGAGGGAACGGGACGGGAAGGAATCTGTGTTTTACTCTCTTTAACAGATATGGCCATAAGGGAAAAATTTAAATATTAATGAAAATACTTATTTCCCAAAGACCTGGCCAGCAAAGAATGCTGAATGAGATAATTCACCAACCAAAGGAACACAGTAACTGAAGAGCAGATTATCACTGAAGTGAAAAACAAAGGCAGCAGACATAAATAATTAACTGAGGATGTTTCCTGTGGAGGTTTAGATGAGCTTCAGGCACTATGTGGAAAGTCACTTGACTACCAGATTGTTATGTTCTCTTTTAGCGTTTCTTATATTAATGTGTACACCCAATAATAAGTTTCTGTGGTCTGAGTTACCTGAAAAGAAGTACAATCCTACATGGCATTTTTTATCTATGTTGAAAACCATACCTGCTGTGCTCTTTAAATGAAAGCTGACACGCTACACCTTTAGATTGTTGCAGGAGTAATTACTAGCTACCTAAACAGATGCTGTCATCTTGTTCTCACAGTGTGTCTCCCTATATACAAAGAAAAGACTGTCAAAACTGGTTACAACTAGAGATGCTCAAAGAGTAATTGAAATGGAATAATCTGACAGGAACCTACTATTACATTATGATTTATTTTTGTTTTTAAACTGTGTTGAGCTTTGCCTCTGTGCTCATAGTGTGAGGGTTCTAACATAAGGAATAGGATTCCCAAAACAGCAATTGTGGCATGTAACTAAACTGATTATAATCTGAAAGAATCATATTATCCCCAAAATGGGTCTGATAAGGGATTAAAGAAAATTCTCCTTTGTCTCATTATTCTGTCCCCTGGGATTGCTCTTGTAATTGTGGATCACAACCTCTACAGATAGATTTCTTGGGCTCCAATAAGAGGGTATCAAAAACTTACTGAACAGATATGACTAATGAAGTGTAGGAAACTAGCTTTACATTTACAACTTGAAGTTTTTCAAGTCAAAGACCAGAAGTATACTCAAGTTCATACATAGAACAGCTGAAATTTGTCATATGTTGGACTAATTTTTCAGTTATTAGAACATAAAAACTCTCAAGTTTCATTTTGTTAAAGCTATTAACATTGTTAAAGTGATAGCTAAGAAGACAGTGATCAAAGATGTAATGTGCCAACATGTATGTACCAGTCATGAGATAGACAGGAAACAAAAATCTGCGTAGCGATAGAAGGAGATAGGTATGAAAAATATCTTCTGTATAAGTGGTGATTGTTTCAAATGTATTGATAGATTCTTTACACAGTGAGTAAACTTGAAGAAACTGGAATTTATTTCAGCACAATTTGCAAGTAGTAAAAATGCCTGAAATTTCCCTAAAATAAATTATTATTGGGGAGGGGAGGGCTTTTTAAAATATTGTATATCAAATATCAACATATTGCTTTCAGAAAAAGAATCACAGAATCACCGAATGGTTGGGGTTGGAAGGGAAGTCTGAAGATATCTAGTTCAAAGTTTCTTCCAAAGCAGGTTCACCTGGAACAGGTTGCACAGGAGTGCATCTAGGAGGATTTTGAATATTTCCATAGAAGACTCCACAACCTCTCTGGGCAGCCTGTTCCAGTGATCTACCACCTCTCTCAGCCTTTTTTTGTAAGAGAGAGTACCCTAATTATCCCTCTCTGGTCCCCTAATTATCTTTTCAGCGCTCTGATGAACCTTCTCCAGTACTTCCTTGTCTTTCTTGGACTGGCAAGCCTAGCATGGGACACAGTACTCCAAATGCAGCCTCACTAGGGCTAAAATGAGTTGCAGGACCACTTCCCTGGACATGCTGGCAATGTTTTTCCTAACACAACCCAGGACACCACCTGCCTTCCTGGCCATAAGGGCACACTGCTGACTCATGGACAACTTGTTGTCCACCAGAATCCCCAGGTCCTTCTCTGCAGATCAGCCTCCAGCCTGTACTGGTGTGGGGTTTATTCTTCCTCAGGTGCAGGACCCTGCATTTGCCTTTGTTGAACCTCAGATGGTTCTTCTCTGCCCATCACTCCAATTTATTGAGGTCCTTCTGAAGGGCTGTACAGACCTCTGGGCTGCTGGCCACTCTTTCCAGTTCCGTATCATCAGCAAACTTGCTAGGGGCACACTCTGTCCCTGCATCCTGGTCACTGGTGAATAAGTTGAACAATACTGGACCCGGTACTGACCCCTGGGGAACACCACAGGACTCTAATTCGACTCTGCACTACTGAGCACAACACTCTTGAGCTCTGCCCTTCAGTGAATTCTCAATTCACCTCACTGTCCACCAATCTAAGCCACACTTCCACTTGGGCTTTTCGAAACACTTTATACCAAAAATCAACATATTGCTTTCAGGAAAACAGGAACCCATGCCAAGTTATGTGCTTTGCTGTAAAAAATATGTCTTGTCTTCTAAGCTTGCCTTTTTGGGAATTCAAGGTTTCTACATGGATATAGCTTGAGGGTGATATCCATATAAACATATGTACCCAAATACATATACCTAAAGCACTGCCACAGACATTTGAGCTATTAACACAGGTAACCATTGGAACAAGATGCCTCTGAGTATCTGTCAGGATACCTGTCCCTGTCCATACAGAGATCTTTGGAACTAAATCTTTTAATTGCATTAGGACCAGGTTTGTCTCTTAAATTGTCATATTATTGAGAGATATTTTTAATTTTTCTAACAGAGACCTGTCTTTTCCCACTAGGCTAAGCTTTAATGAAGAAACGTCAGCATTATTAACAACTACACAAAGAGGGACAGAAGACCTTTGTGACCAAGGATGTGGTTGTCATGGAAACTGTTGCTGTTTCTGTCACTCACTGGCTGTCTTTCAGGTAAATCAAAACAAAACCAAGAAAACTCTGCTTATCATTTCAAGGCTCTTAACCACAAACAGAAATAGGAAGATGTAAACCCATGTCAGAGAAGATCAACATCTTTATGAAAACTATTTGCCTGAGTGTAACAACCCAATCTTAAGCGGAAGGAAGCATTTAAGATTTGAAAATGTTCCTTGGTCGAAAGGAACAACAAAAGTGAGAGGGTCTGCAAACAATCAGAGAGTTTTATTAGTAAATTACACACTTGGTATGGACATTAGTATGTTAGTCCCTGACCTACTATATAGGCACATGGCAGTGGGTTTTGGATAAAGTGCCACGGTGAAGGGAAAAGAGAAATTAAAGGGGTTGATTAAAAGGGAGAGATGAATTAAAGAAAGGAAAAAAGAGAAGGGAAAAAGGGATCACCAGCCACCACTTCGGAATCGATCCAGCTGATGGGACGCCAATGCTGGTTTCAGCATCAATCCAGCTGATAAGCAGCAATCCAGCTATGTCAGTCCAGCTGATGAGGTGTCCGGGGTCCAGGGGCACTGCCCAGGCCTAGAGGGGTACCTTTTTATGGACAGGTTTCCTTGCCCCAGGGACAAGCTTCTTGCTTTCTATGCTAATTAGTTATCATCCACAGTCCCTTCTTCTAGGCCTTTCTGTAAATGGCTCAGAGGGCTTTGGGAATCTTTGGTGGTCCCAATCCTACCTTATAGTCCACACCCACTTCCTGCCAATCATTTCTGTCCTTGCCCTGTGCTTTGTTGTGGTTCTTTCCCATGGAAAAGTGCTGCCCTATCTCCACCTGGACCCCTTTTCCAACCAAATCTTGGTCTTTCACATGTTGTTTGAATACCAATAGTCCTTGCTTATTCCCAACAATTCTTGTCAGTTGTTACTTAATAGTCCTTGTTTGGCTTCACAGACATCTGGTTACTGGTGTTTGAGACATACACATCAGCCCCTTGTCTTCTGGGAACTGAAAGTTCAAAAAGATTTTACTTTGGACTCTTGTTTATAGAGTTATTAGAGAGTGGGCTTTAGTACATAACTGAGAGCTCGAGGGGTCTCAATATCACTGTTTATGGGGTTGCAAGCAAGGGGGCTTTCGTTATAGTAATTTTCCATCCTGACCACAGTTTAACTCAGTAACTGTCTTTGAAGTGTCAGCAACAGAAATATTATTCCATTTGGTTTGTTATTCAGGCAACAAAAATAAGTTTCCAAGGCTGTTCATTAAAAAATAGATGCTCATTAGAAAACAGTAGTTCCTGGGGATAGGCAGTGTTTCTGATAAGCTGGAGAACAGCTTAGCCCAGGTGCAGTTTGTCAAGGCCAATGAGCATTTCTCAGACCATACTGTAGCTTCAGGGTAGGTGGGGATGTAACTAAAGTCAGCTTTTCTGGCCTCTACACTGAGTGATGAAATTGTAAAAATTTAGATTCAGGTATTTACAAGGGATGTCCATATGCCATTAATTTGTACCTAAATCTGAATAATGTTTTAAAGAGAGGACAGTTGCATATCTCATTTGAAAAGACAACAACAACTTTTTGGTTAAAAGAACCCAAACTATCACGTGTAGTAAGTGTATCTCTTTTGTAGATTTTTCATGTGGCATTACCTTAGTTGCTTTTTTTTGGAAGTAATAAAATGAGTTAACTTGTAATCATTTAAGCTTCTCATATGAGAATTTTAGTGATTTTATACCATATTGTCTCCAATCAATTTATTTTGGCTGCTCCATTTTCTTAATGTTGTTCCTTATAATGCCTCTCAACAGTTACTAAGCTATTTTTTTCACACATTCTTACAAAACTTGTTGGGTTTATCACAAGATAAAATTTAGTAAAAGCTAATGAAATAAAAATTTTTGATTTGTAATAATACTGTGATATTGGACACAGGAATTTAATAATGGAAAGCACCTGTGGATATCAATATACATGCTTTGAATGCATACATGAAACAGTCTGATCTAATCTGGTATTCCTCATGTAGTTTCATTGTCTTGTGTTATCTGAATCCATTATTTTGAGATAGGGAATATTTGTTTTTGTGTTGGACTATCAGCCACACTGTTAGTTTTGGTAGCATTTGTATTTTGGTGATTCTAGTAGTGGTGCCTTACAACCAGCATTAATGGAATTTTAATTTTTTTAATTGAAATTCATATTTTTATTGCTAAAATTCCAAGAACTTTGATGTAAAATTCAAAAGCATTTCAGAAGTTTAAATCTAGAATTCTTTTTTAATAATTATATCTATTTTGAAATCCTTGAGAGTTAAAAGTCAGTGTCTGGCAGAAGGCTTTCGTCCTAGTTACAGGGACCAGAACCGATTTATCACTATGTGGGTATAACCAAAACTGTGTATTCTAAACCCTCTTTGTAATTTTTGATGGACTGTTAATAATGGATCTTTTGCAGCAGCTGCCTAGGGCACAACTGACACCTCAGGGTACAAGCTGGGTGTTAAAGAAACCCTGCAAGGGGTGTTTCTTTGTCTTCACACTAATAAGTGTGATAACAGCTGTGAGAACTCTCCTTTGGGGAGGCATTAGCACCTTCACATCCAGCCTGAGGGGTTATCTCTGCTAGGGGACCATACTGGACTGGCATAATAGGCAGCTGCAATCACCAAAGACCATCAAGGGTCGCAAAAATATCCCATGACTCAGAGAGTTAAATCATCCATTGTGAAACTACTTGCCCTGGGGGAGGTACTGGACATTCCCACCTGAACCTGAGTACATATAATTTTGGGGTTTTGGGACTTGGGGTACCACTTGAGGGATCCAGAGGAGAACTAGAACTCCAACAGGACTAAAACTGCCACTCTCGGCAAGACTGTGCTTGTTGCTTCAACAGGACTGTGACCATCATCTGGACCAACAGGTTTTCCTTTCCTTTATTTTTCCCCCGGGGGGGGCACGTGGTGCTCATCACAGGGGCTGACAAACACTGTTCTCTTCTTGTTCCAGGGTGCGGGGTTATTCATCTGTCTTTGTGGGTTTAAACCAGGTTTTTTTCTGTATCATTGTATTTATTGTAATCTTTTTAGTAAAATGACACTCCGACTTGTAATCTCTCTTGAGTTGGGTTCATTTTTCCCGCTGGTTTATTTTTAAACCAGCACAGTATTATACTGTGAAATTAATGTACCTGAGACTGCAGTTGGTTTCACATAGTTAATATCTCTTTAACCTCAACTGCTGTTAAAGAGAATACCTAATTGCTTCCAATAGATTTACCTAAGTGTACAACACAACAATACGCTGCAAAATCTGAGACACATTTCACATGCTTGCAATTGTGTATCCTAAAATTGCATATACAGGAATGAGTTTTATCTGTTTGTTAGGGAAACTTTTTAGATACATACATTAAAATATCATCTTTGAAAGACGTAAAAGCATTAGCAATGACTAATACAGCATTAAAATGCATAACTACTTTGGAAGTTAAACTGAATGTCAGTATTTATAGAAGTATTTTATTTAAATAACGTAATATCCTTAAAACTCTTGCCAGTTATTTGGTACTATATTTAAAACCCACTATTGCTCTAGTCTGCAAATATTTTTCTCATATACGATGGTTTCTAAAGGACTCTTTTCATATTTTGTTTTTAATTTGTGATTCTTTAGGATTCTGAAAGGTTTATCCCATATTATTGTAGCAGATTTAACTGTAAGAAATTATTTTTAACCTCAGTGCTTGTTTTCACATGTTGTCAAATGTAATGTGATAACACTTTTTTCTCATGCACAAAGATTATTCTGTAATTTCTTTGTTAATAATTTTCCATTAGTAAATTTAATGCTATAAGAGCTATAAGAGCTGAAATTAACCAAATATAACAAAACTAGATTCAAAATTATTTTAAACAGATCATCAGCGTAACTAGAAACTTACTGCATTCATACCTTTCACATTTGGTTACATCATCCTGCATTTGGAGATGGTTTCATATTACAGCACTGATTAGAAGGTTTGCAACTGCTACGATTTCATTCCCACATCTGATGCAATTCAAGGTAGCCTAGTAAGTCTGATGCCTGAATGCACTGTTCTTAACAGCAGAGCAATAGATGTTGATGGTGTTCCAGTAAGATAAAGTTCATTTGCTTTCTGTTGGTTTACGCTCTGTTAAAATTCTGTACTTCCTTATCCATTAAATCATCAGATCATGGGATCACTCTTAGCAGCAGGTAGTGTTTGGAAGAGATTACTATGCTGTTGTATTGATTTTGCTGTGGTGAGGGAAATCATCTAAGAAGAGAAAATAGATGACCTCTCTAGTTTGTGTGATCCCATTTTTATATCATTTTTATCTTAAAACTGACCCTGGTATTTTGGGTCTTGCTTGTGTATGAATGTATGGAAATGTGCTTAAGCTATGTGGAAAATATTTGACTGGAAATAAAAATTATTATTTTCTGAACGCAAAACTGGGGACTGAATTATGTTTCTTATTCAAGTTATTTTAGCATAAGGAGACTGGTCTGGGAATACAGCTCACAGTTATACACCTAAATTCTCAAAAACTTCACATTTATGAAATCTTGACAATTAGCAGATGAAAAAAACGTTTTAAGATGGATAATATGTTCCTTCTTTTCTTATGGTGTAGTACTGCTCTTCAAACCAAATTGGAGTTGAAGAAGAATTAAGCTGTCATTTTAGAACTAGGAACTAGCTCACTTCTGAGCTGACAGTTGGAAAAAAAACTTAAGGTTGTTTTTTTTTTTTTTTTTTTGGAGGGTTTTGGGTTTTACTTTTTTTTTTCTTCTTCCTATGAAGTTTTCCTGTAGGGAAAGGCATCAAGCTGTAAGAGGACAGATTACAATGGGAGAACTGTTAATCTGAAATTCAGAGCAGCTTCTGATTTGGTTACAATAATACCCAAAGTGAGTTCAGAGACACCCAGTTTAAATTTAATCCAAGTTCATCAGAATTTTATCTGGGGGTTTATTCCTAGGGTTTTAGTGTCCTGGTTCCAC